CTTTGGTCCCTTTGTGTTGTGTCTTGTCGAGGTGAATTTTATCCTGCCTGGCCAGGTGCTAGAGAGTGAGCCTCATAATCAGACACCTGGAGAGGAAACTCCATCCACAAATGGATCAATAACACCCCAGACCCAACTACAGGGGCAAGAAGAAGGCGGCAGTGAGGGAGAGAGCATGAGTCAGTGAGGGACCAAAAGAGGAGTGTGTGGTCATGTGGGATGTGTGTGTGTGTATGTGAGTGAAGCACAGATAGATCCCGCAGGGCCTTTGGGGTCAGGCTAAACAGGCTTGCCTAACTAGGCAGCCTCTGCTACCGTGTAAGCAGTTCCAGGAGGCTGGCTCATCCTCAGAAGCCTAGTGTTTTTAAGGGGACAGCTGCTGTAACTGGGAGCCATGCCTTACCCCCACCCAGGGTGCCCTCAGATAACACCTGGGATGCTACAGCCACCCCTGCCAAGGACCTGCTACCTTGGCTGGGGTCCCACGGTCAACGAGTCTCCAGCCACCCAGGCACAGGCTACTGTGAGTTCTGAAGCATGCTCCTCCCGACCATCCCAACACCTTAGCCCAGGGCACTGCAACCACGCAAGCAGCAGACACGTGAGCAGCCCACTCCTATCCAAGGAGCAGCAGCTGTCAGCTGTGTGAGCGGCCTGCTCCCTCATCCGAGGAGCAGCAACCATGTGAGCAGCCTGCCCCATCTGAGGAGCAGCAGCCACACAAGCAGCCTGCCCACGATTGTGGAGTGGCAGCCCCACACAGCCCGCCCCCATCCGAAGAGCAGCAGCTGCACAACCCAAACCTTCCTCCTGTCTGCGGAGCAGTAGGTGTGTGAGTACCTGCCCCCATCCAAGGAGCAGCAGCTGCACGAGCAGCCTGCCCCCATATGAGGAGCAGCAGCGGTGTGAGCAGCCCATACCCATACAAGGAACAGCATCGCCACAAGCAGCCCGCTCCCATTCAAGGAGCAGTAGCCATCCAAGAAGCCTCCCCCAGTCCAAGAAGCAGCAGCCACATGAGCAGAACACCCACATCTGAGGAGCGGCAGTCCTTCACAGTCCACACTGGTCTGAGGAGCAGCAGACACATGCAACCTGCACCTGTCTGACGAACAGCAGCTGGGTGAGTGGCCTGCCCCCATCCGAGGAGCAGCAGACACATGTGCAGCTCGCACCACCTGAAGAGAAGCAGCCACCCAAGCAGTCCATCCCCCGTCGAGGAGCAGCAGCCACACGAGCAGACAGCCCCTGTACAAGGTGCAGCAGCTGCACGTGCAGTATACTATGGCCCAAGGAGCAGCAGCAGCCCGAGCAGCTTGCCCCTGTCCGAGAGGTAGCAGCCACATGGACAGACAGACCGACCACATCAGAAGAGCGGCAGCCCTGCGCACCCCACACTGGTCCAAGGAGCACAGCCACACACAGTCTGCACCTATCTGACGAGCAGCTGCTGGGTGAGCATCCTGCCCCCATCTGAGGAGCAGCAGCCACATGTGCAGCTCACCACCACCCGAGGAGCAGCAGCCACGAAAGCAGCCTGTCCACCATCTGAGGACCAGCAGCTGCATGAGCAGCCTGAACCCGTATGAGGAGCAGTAGCCCTGTAAGCAACCTGCCCCTGTCCAAAGAGCGGCAGACTCACGAGCAGCCTGCCCCATCTGAGGAACAGCAGCAGCATGCAGCCAGCTCTGATCCAAGGAGCAGCAGCCACGTGAGCAGTCCCCAGCCATCTGAGGAGCAGAAGCCACATGAACAGCCTGCTCCTGTCCAAGGAGCAGCAGCCGCACTCAGCCCCTCCCATCTGAAGAGCAGCAGCCTCGTGATCAACCCAACCCTGCCCAAGGAACAGCCTCACCTATCAGCCAGAGGAGACACCGCTGCTGCAAACATCACCCACCAGAGGAGCCACTGCCAACTGAGGAGCAGCCACTACCAAGACCACTTGAGGAGAAACTGCAGCCCAAGGAACCACTGCCACCCAAGGAACAGCCCCTGCACAATTCAAAATCTAGATCAGTCGGTGAGACCAAAAATGGGTAGACAAAGAAACCCCCAAAGGAAGTAAAATGAAAGATCGCCAGAAAAGTGGCTAAGTGAAACAGAGGCATGCAATGTGTCAGAAAAATAATTCAGAATAAGGGTCCTAGAGTGCAAAAACTGGTTAGAGGAAAAAATCCACAACTTATGTAAGAATGAAGAAGAAATGAAGAGTGATATAGCTGCAATAAAAAACACCATGGAATGTTTCAACAGTAGACTAGGAGAAGTGGAGGACCGAATTAGCAAATTGGAAGACAGGGAAGCAAAACACACCCAAACTGAACTACAATTGGAGAAAAAAATTAAAAGACAGGAGGAGAGCCTAAGGGAGCTATGGGACAACATGAAATGAAGCAACATATGAATAATAGGGGTGCCAGAACAACAGGAAGAGGAAAAAGGCTTAGAAAACCTATTTGAAGAAATATTGTCCGAAAACTTCCCTGATATGGGGAAGAAAAAAGTCACACCAGCACAGAGAGTCCCAAACAAGATGAACCCAAAAAGACCCAAACCAACACACATCTTAATTATGATGGGAAATGTTCAGGACAAGAGAGAAGCTTAAAAGCTATAAGAGAGAGACAGAAATTTATTTACAAGGGATCTCCCATTAGATTATCAAATGATTTATCAACAGAAACATATCAGGCCAGAAAAAAATGGAAGGAAATTTACAAAGTAATGCAAAGCAAGGGACTGAATCCAAGAATACTCTATCCAGCAAGGCTATCATTCAAAAGTGAAGTGGAAATAAGGAGCTTCACAGACAAAAAAAAAGTCTAAGGGAGTTTATCACTACCAAACAAGCAATGCAAGAAATGCTAAAGGGACTGGTGTAAAAAGAAGAAATAAAAACGTAAGAAAGAACACAGGCAAAAAAATAAAAATGGCTACAAACAAGTACTTTAAAATAATAACTTTAAATGTAAATGTACTAAATGCTCCAATCAAAAGACATCAAGTGGCTGAATGGAAAAAGAAAAAAACATGACCCATATATATGTTGTCTACAACAGACCCACCTCAGAAGAAGGGACTAACACAGACTGAAAGTGAAAGGATGGAAAAATATATTTCAGGCAAATGGAAATAAAAAAAAGCTTGGGTGGCAATACTTATATCCGACAAA